AATAACACTAGAAAAGGACATAAGTTGGAAAACAGCAATTATTCGCAACTGACGTACATAAGCGACCTGAAGTGGAATGGGAGATCGATTAAAGAGCTGGATAATCTCATCCAGAGTGCAAGAATCTTATTGGAAGATGTCAGGATGGAATCCCGTTTGAATAAATGTGCCAAGTTCGAGATTAAGAAGACGAAGATGTGGAAAAGCGATGGAGGACGCTAAAAAACAGTAAAATAAACAGCTTGGACGAAAAACAGTTGTAAGTTGTACATATACGTCAGTGTGCTAAGTCCAAATAACATAATGTACGAAAAAATGAAATTAACAATAAAAACGGAATCGAGAGGAGAATCCGCTGAAGAATGAACAGCAAACTGTGGTCATTGACCAGCATGCGGTACCAGCGTTGGCACTGTCGAATGGACCCAAGCGAAAAGGCCAAAATTACATAGAAAGGGGCAAAGGTATTGGATATGTACGGGATCGTCCACCGAAAAACAGCATTGTCGTGTCTAAAGAAGGACGAGACGCTTCTTGGCATCAAAAACCCGTTCGAGCCAAAGACTCCTCCTTAAGGCAATGTCTGGCAACGACGAAGAAAGGTTAATGACCTGTACAATTTAGAACAGTATTCGGCAGTGCATGCAGAAATTCATGAGGAACATGGAGAAGATGCCCAATGCAACGGTTGGAGGAGGGAGGGCTTCATGGAAAGTACCTTCGGAAACTTGCTGAAGACGTGGACATCAACCAATGGTTAAACTTGCTATAGCCAAGTGAACTGCACGAACTCACACAAAAGGGAAGATCTTGCACATACAGCCACAAGCAAAGTGCAGAATGTGTCAAGTGAAGGCTGAGACCGCGACAATCTCGAATCGTGGTACGAGGAAGAAATGGCGCAGCAAAGTTGCAACGATAATCCATTTGGCATTTGTGCCAGCGAGTCTATTTTCGGTGGTAAACGAATGGTGGAAACATCAGCCGGAAGTGGAGTGAAAATCTGAGCAAGTAAAAAATGCCGTGAGACTCTCTATTCGAAATGAAAAAAAAAGTCAGTTCGTGGTGATGAATAAGGCAAAAAATGAGCAATAATCATTGATGATAATTAGAGCGTTATTAAGGGGAGAGGAAAGATTCTGAAACAACATGAATTGAGGAGAGAAATGCGGAATATCTGAAAAGTACCTCAAAAACTCATTCATGCAGTAATCAGTATCCTCACAGAAGTGAAAAGTGGCCATCTGCGCACACTAACGTCAACTGATGAAGGGAGGAAGGTGGGTGAGATGCAGAAGGATACCCTGCTAGGAGAAGCTACAATTTTAAGTTGAGTAAAGCATCTTCTTAGCCCTTGGTAGTGGGTTCGAGTTGAAGTGATGTTCGTACCACTCATAATCATGTTTCGTGAAGTATGACTGAAATAAAGGGCACTGCAAGTTAATCATCTTACCTCATTTCCTGTCTACCGTCAAAATCAAAAAATATTGAGTTCCAGTTTCAACTGGCTATCGTAGTGAAAATTTTATATGAGCTGTAAATGAGATAAATATGTTGCATCAAGGTCATAGGTCAGCTCGCAAGAAATGTACTCCAAACTGAGGACGACTTTCAGGCCTGTCTAATCTTGATCATCTGTGCTACTTTGCTGTGTTCATAATATAAAAGCTTTGATTAAAATTTTATTAATCTTAAAGCTTCGAGTTATCGATGTTTCTAAACTTGAATATTAACAGTACTTTTCAATCACTTTTGCCTTATGCTCAAAGTTTCAAATGTAAGTTGCTCTGTTTTCAATGCGTGTCCTTTCGCCGCTTGCTTTACTGAAAGGGTTATGAGTCAATTTCTGTTTAACAGCACGGTAAGCCAAGATTATCATTATGTACTATTACATATATTGTCGATTGAAAGCAACAGTTTACTGATCTTTCTTCCCCAGTTTACTGATCTGACCCGAGGTATTGCAATTGGGCGCTTTCAGCATCTTTGGGACTAATCGTCGGTCGTCGATAAAGTCCATTATTCATCTGAATGTCGCGAAATATGATTTTTCTTGTGGCACCAATAGAACGTCATGCATTCCCGTACTCATTCTTGTTTCTTCGTTCCACGGTGCATCTCCAATGAAAATTCTTAGCATCTTTCTTCTCGAAGCCCACTGATGAACTCTGAATATTTCTCGCAAGAACATAGAGCTATTGGCCATACCATGCTTTCATTCAATGTGGTTATAACCACATTCAAGAATATCAGCGTTGCTCCTTATGTACCTCATGATGCATGTCACTTTCTAGCGGGCTCTGGGTCAAACGGGTTGTCGGCGACGATTAACGATAAGTGTCCGTAGCAGGCAGACTCGGTGACATTTTTTTTTGGTAATTTTTTTTGCAGCCATTTCGTAATCTATGTGATAACTATATCTGGTTGTGCGAATTCGTTTTATCATCAATTCTCACTCAGTTACGAGTATTATTGTTAATAACACTAAACTAGAGTAGTATTCAGAAGACTGAAATAACCTGATTTACAATCAAATGCAGTTGTTATGGACAAGAAATGCAGCAGGTTTCCACAGCATGCCTGAAAACCCTATGAAATTCACAACGCCTCATCGTCATCAAGTGCAGAAGAATGAAATATTACTATCGATAATTCAGGATCTTTTGAATTTGCAAATTGAAAATGCTGAAGTGAAATAGGCTGTCAGGTTTCAGCAAGCTTCGTTTGCATGCAAAGTCATAATTCATCAAATTATATAAAAAGTCAATCAATCCTTTTAGATGACCGCTTATTGTTTTGGATAAGGGAGGTAGACCCATCATACAGTTACTCCAAAATTTTTGTTACTGTGCCGGCATTTTAGCTTCGACAGAGGATAACGCTAGTCCAGAGTTGCATCTAAAATGTATTCCGCTGAATGGTCTCGGGTACAAGTCGATTTCCGTCCATCCCATAGGTCGAAGTTCATTCGCCATGACCTTTGCTAGTTTTCACTTTCGATTTATGTCGAACGGCGGTCGGTTCACTGCTGCTTTCCCCTCTTGTTGCTTGTCTAATTCCGGCAGTCCGCTAGTCAGTAAGACAACATAAAGTGGGTTCTGTAAGTTTTGTTTGCCGGTGACATACAGGATCTCAACAGACGAATGCAACTGCCACACTTCAAATAAATGACACCTTTGTGTGGTCACTGAAAACTTTATCCCTATCACTGCCAGCGGCCTGTGAGATCATATACTTGACTTTTATGTGAGTGAAAGTGGGCGCAAGAAAGTGACCCTCATTATCAATCAACCTCAATAAGGCCTAATCGACATTGGTATCGCGGTGTCAAAGAACCATGGGGTTTGGTTATTCCGGCACTGAACTGATCCATATCGATGTGCTTTTTCGAGCATACTGTTTCGTCTATGTGAAATGACTTGCTTTGCGTCCAATTTGTTGTTGGTAAGGCGACAGATGGATTCTGATGCAAATGTCTGCAGTAACTTCAGTGGAAAGGTGGGCAGGAACCTTTGCTGGACAGATTATGATAGAGGGTAGTACCACGGTACAGCGGTATAGTTAAAATTGAAATTTGCATGCCTGACGTTGCAGAGCCGCTCTTACTTCTCTTCTCAGGTATCAATGACTATATTAATATTTACGTTTATATAATTTTAATGTCATGGATCGATTGACATTGACCACTTAAACCTTAAAGAACACTAAAACTTTCTATAGTTATAAGATCTGGCTGTAAGAAAGTGAGTTACGATGGTTTCGGTTCAATGGAATCACCATCTGCCAAGCAGAGAACTACTTTTGCAATAACAAGAGGGTTGTTGACTTTCAGTTGCTTCTAGGAATTAGAATTTACTACTTCTAATACTCGAGTAGTTGGGAAGGGATGTGTACAGTAAGAAATCATTGGCATGCATTAGAACCTACAGTTCGTCTGATAAATCTAAGGCACGGTGTTTCTACATTGATTCAATGCACTGTAGTAATCCTTCCGCATGATCATCGCTACAGGTGGCCTGAGGACGATAATACTACTGTTTTCTAGGACGATGACGCCAGAAGAGTCTTTCAACTCATTTACTTGCTAGAGGAGTTTTCTTATCAGTGCATATTCTTCACAATCCTACGTACTTCTGCCATTTGCGTAATTCGTATGCACTGAGGCAGCATATATTATAATTACGTACGCATCACTGTCGATGCATTAGCCAAAATTTCATGAGTATGATGCTACTGCGCAACCTTTGTCAAGCGCTTCACTTCGTGTTGTACTCAGAGCAGAGGACTGATGGCGTTATGCGTTGTCTACCATCATTATTCTGATCTTATTCAGTTTAATCAGATGTTGCAACACTTTTTTTGTGCTTACGTTTGTGGCAAAGTATCATCTTTCTGAACTAACTTTACTTTCTTGCATAGTTAACGCCGTTTTCGCCTCGAAAAGCAAGTGTTACAATTTGCCACTATCGAGAAAATGAGGAAAATGTCTAAATGAGCAATTATAACCATTTGCTACTTCATGGTAAATTGTACTCTTCTATCCAGAGGGTAGAGGGCATAGAATCATATTTCTACCGGCGCTACAACGATTGGTTTTGCGCGATTCGACGATGCCATGTTTCTATCGTAAGATGTCTTTAGCAGAGGGTTGCTTCAGTTTCCCGTTTCGTTCCAATCCCGGAATCGTACCCAAGTTCCTACTCTTGCATGTTTTCAAATTCAAAGTTTGAATTAATTAATTTGTTCGATTCAAAGTCAAATTAGTGGTTTCTCGCACCCTGATGCTCCGGTGTACTACTTTCTTACTACTTTTGCTTACGCATTTACCTAAACAATATCTGTTGCAAGAGTATCTCAACCCAGCTGCTGTCCACCTGGCGCATCCACCGGTTGCGGGTAAAGGAACTACCTCCAGATACGAAAGGTAGCTGCGACAAACAAGTAGTCGTGGACAAGCAACGGTGATACCACGAGGGACTGGCCAGGTTCGCCCTCCACAAGTTCAACCCTCAGAGAAAAGGTGACAGTACCCAATAACAGTCTCATATTGAGGCGAAAACGACCTCCTCTTTGAAGAAACTAGGCCGCCATATCAACGCTGCCTTATGGTTAGACGTGGGTTCCTCAAAGACTAGAGAGGGCAATTTCGGTATAAAAAAAAGAGCGGAACTGAGGGATCCGTTTGTAGGAAATTCCCCAGTCCACCGTCAGCACTGCCAGCCGATGGTAAAACTTCATGCGTTATGACAACGGGAGTAAATGGATTTTAATACCCTGCACTTCTATTGAACAGTTTTTGGGTATTCGATCAACGAGAGGCTGATAAGAACTCCAACTGGAAAGTTGCCATCTGGTAAACGAACCCGCAGCTCTCTCGCCATTTGCACTTAAAACTGTAGAACACTGACGAGGGAAGAAACGTTAAGTCAACTAATGGACAAAGGTCACTGATGGCCTGCGAGACGACCATGGAAAGCAGTGAATGGCACCTGATGAGAGGGTAGTTCAATTTGACTAGACGCGAAGAAAGTAGGAGGAATCGGGATTGTAGTCAGCAAAAAAGCCAGTCTCCCAAAATCGTCTCGTGCAGGTGAAGTCACCAAGATTGGCGCGTTGTGCTTCCAAGAGAAAAAAGAACTTGAAGGGAGAATTCAGAGCCAAAATTGGATAAGGAAGGACAGGTGAAAATTGTTTGGTAGGAACGGTACCAAAGGGCAAAATGAGCAAGAAGGTCGGCTGGTGACCATGGTGGAAACGACGGCAACAAGGTACGCTGGCAACACGTCGTTCAGGAAAAATACCGACAGAAGATGGACATGGATCGAGCCGCCCAACTCGGCGACAAACAGCGCTACCCTCTTCGTTCTGTTCGATAAACTCTGCGTCAGACACCGACAGCACGACCCTCATTTAACACTGGCAGTGATCACAGACTGGAGTGGAGCAGGAGAAGATCAAGAGAGCGAAACCTCAGATGGCAGGTAGCATAGAATGATCTAAGGTATTAGACGAGGCGGTTCTCCAAGCGCGCATTTCCAGCGAAGACTAGAGCCTGAAACGTAGCTGCGAGTACGAATACACGACAAGTTCGATTCGACGAGAAATTAAGGCGTTGCGTTAAGTCAGCCGAGGTGGTAACACTACAGAGAACGAAAGGACCTCAGAGTAGCCAAAGAGCTTGCAAGAGAATGGGGGGACTAAGAAGAGAGATGAGGCCGACACGGTAAACTGCTCTCTTATCTGCAAGCTTATTAAACGGAATATGAACGATGATTTCAAGACATTCCGATTGTGAAAAAAGATTAGAAAAAAATTGCCAGAACCCACAGAATCCTCAGAAAATGCCGGGAAGAGGTGCTTAATCAGTCGACCATCACTGCTTTGAAAAATGAGGATAGTATATCAACGTCTAACAGAGCTGAGATGCAGTCTCTCTGCAAGAACGTTTACGCTTTGCTCTTTCTGTCAAAGAGACACGTCCCGCCACCATTGCTACAACGGCCAGAAGGATGTGCACTCCCGCTCCTCATAAATGAAGTTCAGCCTGCCACATAGCAAATAAAGGAATGAAGAGTCCCAGGGACGGGAGAGGGGGACGGCCGGACAATTGAAATGATCAGAGTAGGTAGTCAGACGCGGAGTGCTTCGATCATTTTCTGGAAGCAGAAGAGACAATCAAACTGACAGAAACCAAAATTGTCGTGTTG